CCCCAAAACCCCAAAACCCCAAAACCCCAGATGATCATCCCATGGTTGATTCAGATATTTATTTGAAAAGCCTACTCTGCAGCATTTTAAACCATGTTATTTCTCTTGAATCAAGTAAGAGCTGGCTGAGAAAATTAGATAGCCTCGTTAGCCAATCGCCAAGCTTGAATTAGACATATCTTACAGTTTATCATCGCTTTTAGAAATATTTATAACCTCTAGTTGAAAGCTGCTGTCAAAGTATGGCCCCCATACATAATGTACTTACTTCAACAAGTTCATCGAGCTAGAGTAAATCTAGCCTCCTTGAGTAATCCCCATCGGCTTCAGGTTAATTCTTTCACAGTAATGTAAGCTCCTTCGTGATGATCTTAACAAAAGGGCTAATAATATTCCTGTTTTTATAGACCCATCTTAAGAATCCACCGTCATGCCAAATTCAGCCTATGAATCAGCAAGTTTAGATAGTTCTTTTGTCAAAATCTGTCTTTGCTTCTAAATCAGAGGATGCATACCTTATTATTGGACCCAGCCAGGTTTATAATGACACCTGAGGACGCCCAACTGAAGGGGTTACTTGATAGGCAAACCCTCAGTTTGTCTAGAAGTTGCATTACATTTTACACCGCTAAGTCCAATGTGAAAGTTCTCCGATTAAAATAAAGATATGTGCTGAAGCCTGCATCCATCTAGGATGCAGCACTGAGATGCAGCCCTTGCTTTGTCAGCATCCAAAGTTGAACTTTAAATAAGATATAAGCGAGAGGGAGTTCATTCATCTATCAAACTAGGTTTATTAAGAATAATTAGGTATAAAAATGCCGGCATCATAACAAGCGGGCTACTCTCATCAATGTAAGTGATTAAGTTTTTGCTCTATAAGAATCACAGAATTAAAAGTTAAAACTTTAGGCAGTCCATGCTTGAGTATAAAATAACTCAATTATGCATCCTACGTCTCCGCTCTGGTTGAAAAATACTGATTTCCTAATTCAGGATGCTGAATTCTTAGATTCTGACAGCTTCAAATTTTCCAAACGATTAGGCAACTTTAGGGCATGTTCAAAAGACATAAAGCTTAGAAGTACATAGCTAAGGCTTATGAGCGACCAATACTCTCCTAATTTAATAATCGCTGCAATAAGCCCGCATTCTTTCTGAGAAATTCATACATAATTATTCATAATAAGTTTGAAGCATCCAGATTTTTAGATCAGAAAGAATCACCAAAACACAAAGCTGGAATATTGTGGATAAACCGCGGGATGGCTCGTTTGAGAGCAGCCGATCCTCGCCAGGCCCAGGCTAGTTGGATTCCTCCTTGGCTGCTCTATGTTTACATACCATTGCCCGTGCATCAGGAGGACGAGCATGGCCAAGAATAAGATATTTGCATCAAAGAATCTTTTCTTTAAGAATGTGGCTTAATTCTTACCCAAAATACAAAAAACTAGTAGAAGACCACCCATCTGGAAATAAAGCTTTAGAGAAATAATAATGTCTTGACATAAATCTGGGACGATTGGATATGGGTCTCTTCTATAGGCTCAAGCACCAATAAATGATAAAACCTCTTTAAGATGCCTTCCAAGCTATCTCAGACTGATATTCTCCACTAATTGACATTTATTCCTCTCCTTGTTGGATATATTTTGAGTCCTCTCAAGCCTAAATTTTTTTAGCAGAACACCAGAATGGTGAATAGAAAACCATTTCACAATCCTAATAAATTATCGAAAAATACTTCAAGCCACATGGACTGGAAGACTGCTCTGTAGCCATTAGAAACTTCGCAGAACTTACCATGCACTCTAAAGTGGCTCTACATCGTCTGGGATAGATTCTTACTCTTGCCATCTTAATTCAGTGCTGACTAAGAAGATGGTAGAGTCCATTACCTTAATAAAGATTTTACGAGAAAGTCACAACGTCGACCTTAATAAGAAGTTTGATAATCAACCAGGTGGTCATAAGATGGAACTGACACAGGAAATATTATTAGAGCTGAGGCATCCCAGCTGCCAAGGGACCTTCACCGAAAATATCCAAATCCTCATCACATAAAAACTGTATTTTTGGGCTCAGATTTTTCATGATATGGAAAATAAGCAAGAACTTTATTAGAACTATTAACTTTGAAGCAAAGCAGACTCTAATTAGTATGAATAGATAATAAAGCAGCACACAGGTTTTATGGGACACTTATATAGCTTCCTCTGGAGCATTCTTCATACCAGTTAAGGTTAACTAGCTTAAGTTTTAGACTATATCTGTCCATTTAAAAGTATCCTTAATGCCCACATACGCTTTGATAATTGAAAACAATGATTCTATATTTAAAGAGTAACACTGCGATTTCGCATACAATTAAGGTTATATTGCATCTTCTATGAAGCCATGATAAATTTATCATACCCTAAAAGACTAACACGTTCATTTCTACACTATAATGAGGGGAGCTCAAAAGGGCAAGGGTGTAATAAAGAGTCTCAGGAGAGTACATTTAGACCTCATTCGAAGGACTCTGAACCAGACAGAATTTAAAGTTAGCCCATATGTGATCAATTTTATATAAACTAAACACAGCAAGTGATTAATCAGACTTGTGAAGAGGTCCAGATCACCGCTCTAAATACTTTTCCTTAGTTTTAATTACTATCTTCAGAATTATGAAAACACTTCGATCACTTTTCACTAATTCTTAAAATTCAGATTAGTAGTATCTCCAATAAATGGGCTTCTTAACTCGGCCTCAGTTGTCTTGGCAATGGGACAAATATTGATTACCTAAAGTGTTAAAATATAAGGCATTCATAGTTTAAGTTTTAAACTTTGCTCTTCAAACTCACTCTACTTTTAACCCATAAAATTAGGCAGCTATTACATAGTTCACTGACCAGCTTCAGACTTTCTGTATAATCTGTGGTCTGTAAGCCTAGTAAAGCCATGCCTTGTCACGTTAACCACTTCTAAATGGACAATAAATTGGCTAGGTTAGAGCTAACAGTTGTAAACTTAATTTACATAAAGTGCCTAAAATAACTCGTTTGATAAGAACCCAGGCCACCTAAATGAGTCTCGTTATTAGTATTAAAAAAGTTTATTAAATGATAAGGTTCGAAAAGTTCATTAGCAGGGCTGAGTGTCATTGATTCGGAATCATCCAGTCAAGCCTCTCAAAAATATGGAGATCTCTACCAATTTTATTAATGCTAGCCTAGTCTTTACTAAAAGAGAGACTAAGGATCAGTCGAAGAAATTACGACTTTAAGCTGGGATGCCTATATAACAAGGAAAATTGTACGAACTTCATCGAGAAGCTTTGGTCTGGCTCTATGACCAAATTTCCACCCATGCATTTATCTAAATATTCTTACTCCTAAATACTTGCTGGCGGTCATCAATTAACCAATTTATCACAAGTTTACGTTTTAATATCTGTCGATCATCGTAATGGAAGGGCAAATATTTCTAAGCTAGCAACCTAGCCTAGAGCCAAGTCATGCTGGATGGGCTATAAGAGAATGATAAAATTTGGTTTATAATAACTTAGCTTTTTTCTCGACCTAAAAATTAGCTAAGCCTTAATAGGATACAAAATGCCGCATTTCAGGATCAAAAATGGCCGAATATTATGACCAGCCTTGTTCAATATTCATGGCTTTCTCAAATAGTGCTGCCTAGACTAAATCTTAATGACTGATGTTAACAATGAGCCTATTAGTACTATCAGCCTTTTTCTTTAAGAGTAAACTCAACCCAAAAACTTAGTGAAAGAAGATTTGTTAATAACTATTGATTAGGAAGGAAGCCTAACATTATTCCAGGGGATCGCTCATGGGATTTGTCTCAAGAATCTTCCTGAGAATGCCTACTCGAGGATCTTCCAACACCTGAGTCAAGTGAGCACACAATGTTCTGAAATTTCTGCATTTTAGGAGTTTGCGAATCCTTTTCATCGAGAAGGTTTAGCAGCATCTATGGAACATTCCAATCTGGTTTTTAAGTTCAGGACCTCAGTCGAGCCTAGCTTTCCACTTTGGGTTAATAATTCCAATGGTGTAGTAGAGAAGATCATCAGTGAGGTCATTTGCATCAAAGATTTCAACAAGCATAGCTCTCATGCCGCCTCAGACTTCGTCCATTTCACAGTTGATGAATCTCTTTTCGACAAGTTCATGGTTCTTGAACTTGAAGATATTTTTGAATAGCCTCTTAACCAACCTCAGAGCTGTCTTAAGCTCCACGTCTTTACGACCAGAGCTGGACTCTCTGATACAGGAGAGCTCTTCATCAGCCGAGGAAGCTGACTTCATAGTTCCTAAAGTCTTCTCACATTTTGGTATTGTGATCTTCTGAACTTGAGAAGGTAGAACAACTTTGTCCAAATCTGAATTTTTAACGAGCTGACTTGTTCTTGTATTTTGCTTGATAACTTTTGGAGCATCAAAAATACTCTCAGTCACTTGATTCTGAAGAGTTATTTCCTGCTGTTCAGATGCTTCAGTTGGAGAGGCTTGTTGCACAACTTTTCTATCTCGATCATTTACTTTGGATTTTCTTAGATCTTTATTAGACTTATCCAATTCTTGATTAATTCAGAAAATATCCTACAAGAAATTAGGTGAGTCCATAAATCAAGCAAGCACTTAAAAATAATCAGGAATACTTCTAACCATATCCTGTACGCTGAAGATACCCAAAGAGTATATCCAAGAGCCTTATAAGAAGTGCGTTACTTACCTCGATCAGGCAGTTGGAGTCTACATTCTCGAAGACGCTTCCAGGGAACACCATCTGGGTTTCTGTGGCACAGAAATATCCAGATTCACTAACCTTGACAAATCCGTATTGATCTCTTTGACTTGAAATCATTTTAATATTACTCTAATTATTATATACTCAACGGCTGATATATATTCAGGGGTTTTGGGGTTTTGGGGTTTTGGGGTTTTGGGG